AGGTTGACAAGCAAGGCCTTCTTTTGGTTTGCTCACAGCCCAGAGGTTTTGTTAAAGATGTACCCTCGTCCTCCAATTACCAAGTGTTCTCTAGTAAGGAAGACCTGGGGATCTTTATCCACAATGCAAGAAAACCAGGAAGGATTCGTTAGGAGGATTCGTTCAATCTGTTGGGGGGAGCTGTGTTTTTATCTCTGCTACCGAGGTGTCCACTTTCTGGGACATGTAATGGATTGACTAGTTTTCCCCCACAATTCAAGTACCAGAACATCAGAGGATGATCTTGTCTGGATAGAGGGTCTTCGCAGACATAACCAAGTTTAAGATGAAGTCATACTGGATTGATCCAAAAGCTAAACTTACAGCCACTGACCCAATTCACAGTGACCCTATAGGTTACAGTAGAAAGGCCCCGAGACTGAAACTGTTTAGGGTGGGCCATAAATCAATGACTGATGAATGCCCTTATAAGAGGAGAACCCAGACACACCAACACAGGGAAGAAAGCCATAGGACTATGAGATAAAGATTGGAATACTACAGCTACAACTCAAGGAATGCCAAGAATAGCCAGGAGACACCAAAAGCTTGAGAGGCCAGGCAGAATTCTTCCTTAACGCCTTCTGTGGCAGTATGGTCTTATGAGGCCTGGGTTTTCAAACTTCCAGTCTCCAGAAGAGTGAGAGGATAAATGTCTGGTGTGTTACGTCACTAGGTTTCTGGCAGTTTGCTCCAAGAACCCTAAGGAAATGAAGAGATCATATTTGAGATTCTTTGAAGAGAAGCTGATTCTTTAAACGCCCCACACAATCACTTTCTTCAATCAAAAGGACTCAGTGGCTGAAAGGGGGTTTGATCAAACTGATCACAATGATCGATGTATAACCACCTCCCACCCCGTGGAGGACAAACAGAAACATGGGTGAAGGGAGACAGCAGACAGTGAAAAAGGTGAAAATGATGATAATTTATAATTGATGAAGGGTTCACGAGGGTAGACGGTAAGGGTGGGGTGGAGGGAAGAGGAGCTGATACCAAGGGCTCAAGTAGAAAGAAAATGTTTTGAAAAGGATGAAGGCAACATATATACAAATGTGCTCGATACAATTGATGTATGGATTGTTATAAGCTTTAAGGGCCCCCAATAAAATGATTTATTAAAACAAAAAAAAGGACTCAGTGACTTTCACATGAAATGAGCAGAGGATCTGAGGGTTGAAAAGCTGGCTCCATGCTGGCTCCTACGTGACTACTGCATGCCCTTGAGCAAGACACTTTAATCCCCCCTGGTATTTCCATTTCCTCAAACATAAATAAGGCTAGTAACGCTTGCCTTCCCTACTTAAGAAGGTTTTTATGAGGCTAAAATGAAGCTATGTACATACAGGTGGTGTGTGAATCTCGTAACATATTTTAGAAGCTGTTACTTGTTTTCAATATTTGTAGAGGATCCTAAGCTTTGAGAGTCAGGATTTGGGTTTGAATCCCAACCCAACCATCTACGAACCTCTTCACCTTGGGCAAGATTCTTACTTGCGAACTCTATTTAAAACCTGGCAGAAAAGCGAGGTCCCGCTCTTATGAGAGACACGAGAGTTGGATGATATATCATGTCAAAGTTTGGTTCACTATATATGACACTTTTCATCCCTGTAACCCCCTGAATGCTGTGGGGACAAGAAGAGACATAGAAACCAAGCAAAGGAAAGGGGATCCTAATGACTGTGGAGACTCTGAAGGAGGCTTTGAACTTCCAGCCTTCAGAGATCATCATGCTCGCTCCATCCCCCATAGCCTGGAGGTGATTTCTGTTGAGTGGGCCAGGCAAGAAGAGCCCTGATGGAGTAATGATTATCAGTTGGGCGGCTAATCACAAAGCAGTTCGAAACTACCAGCCACTCTGAGAGAGAAAGATGAGGCTGTCTACTCCCATACAGAGTTAGTCTCACTTTGGGCCTCTGCTCAAGCCCTCTGTGATAGGTAGGTTTGTTGTGCCAACATGGCCAATGAACACATGTGGGATTAATTGAAGGGCAGAGAGGTAAATGGCTCAGTGAGCCTCGCCTCTCTCTTTCTCTTGCCCTTGGATCATTGGACCAGTGTGTGGCTGCCTTGCTTGTTCTATGCTTCAATTTGCAAGCTACACTACCTGTGGGACACTTAACCCGTGGACTGTGTCACTGTAACTTGAGGTTCCTTCAAGACCTGCTTCGCCACACCATTGGAATGTACATCTCTTGAGCTGGGGACTGTCAGACCCTGTCATCTGGCTGACTGTTGGTGGCCTGCCTTGCTGTTTGCTGCCTGTGGCCAGATAGCCTGACTTGCTCTATGGAGGACTACCCGGTGGCCCTCCAGACTTGAAGGACTGCCAGTGTACTAGCTGTCTCATGGAAGTGAGTTGCACTGAGCCATTTGTACTGCTTTATATATTAATTAACTGTTTATTACTGTTTATTTCTTATGTTATCTATCTATCTATATA